ACTTCTTTAGACCCGAGGTGTTATATGGGTTCCTCGATTGTCTGACTGGTCGTCTGACGCCGGCGTCAGCTTGCAGTTCATGGCCACAAACATCCGCCGTAGATCAGCGCTGTCGGATTTATGGCCCGGCTCTTTACAGAGCTGAGTTATCCTTGACTTCAGACTCGGGATGTGGGTTTGGCTCTCGGAGAGGTTCGGGTGGTGTTGTGTGTGTTTACAGTAGTGGGAATATGGTGTTTTATGTTGTGTGGGGTGATGGGAGACGTGTTTTGTTGGAATATGGGAGGTGTGGTTTAATGTGTTGGTGGAATATGGGAGGTGTGGTTAAATGTGTTGGTGGAATATGGGAGGCGTGGTTTAATGTGTTGGTGGAATATGGGAGGCGTGGTTTAATGTGTTGGTTGAATATGGGAGGTGTGGTTTAATATATTGTTGGAATATGGGAGGTATGGTTTAATGTGTTGGTCTAATATGGAAGACGTGGTTTAATGTTTTGTTGGAATATGGCATGCGTGGTTTAATGTGTTGGTGGAACATGGGAGGTGTGGTTTAATGTGTTGGTGGAATATGGGAGGTGTGGTTAAATGTGTTGGTGGAATATGGGAGGCGTGGTTTAATGTGTTGGTTGAATATGGGAGGTGTGGTTTAATATATTGTTGGAATATGGGAGGTATGGTTTAATGTGTTGGTCTAATATGGAAGACGTGGTTTAATGTTTTGTTGGAATATGGCATGCGTGGTTTAATGTGTTGGTGGAACATGGGAGGTGTGGTTTTATGTGTTGGTGGAATATGGGAGGTGTGGTTAAATGTGTTGGTGGAATATGGGAGGCGTGGTTTAATGTGTTGGTTGAATATGGGAGGTGTGGTTTAATATATTGTTGGAATATGGGAGGTGTGGTTAAATGTGTTGGTGGAATATGGGAGGCGTGGTTTAATGTGTTGGTGGAATATGGGAGGTGTGGTTTAATGTGTTGGTGGAATATGGGAGGTGTGGTTAAATGTGTTGGTGGAATATGGGAGGCGTGGTTTAATGTGTTGGTGGAATATGGGAGGCGTGGTTTAATGTGTTGGTTGAATATGGGAGGTGTGGTTTAATATATTGTTGGAATATGGGAGGTATGGTTTAATGTGTTGGTCTAATATGGAAGACGTGGTTTAATGTGTTGGTGGAATATGGCATGCGTGGTTTAATGTGTTGGTGGAACATGGGAGGCGTGGTTTTATGTGTTGGTGGAATATGGGGGGGGGGGGGGGGGGGGTTAATGTGTTGTTGAAAAAATAGGCGTTATATGTGTTGATGAAATGTTGTTGAATGGTGTTGTATGATGTAATGTTAAAAAAATCGGAGGCGTTGTTGTGTTGTGGGAATATAAGAGGCGTCGTTTAATGTAGTGTTGGAATATGGGAAGTGTTGGTCAATGTATTGGATAAATATGGAAAGAGCTCCTTAAAATGTCAGCTGTCATAGTGGGCGTTGTCAGTGTAGACAATCAGTGAGGATATATGTTGAATTGTATACAAACTTAATTCATCAGACTGTACAATCTGACTAGAATTAATGGCATTATTCCAACAGGGTCTTTGGTATGAATAGATGGTAGATTTAAACAGCATTGCGATACAATTATAGAATTATTAAGTAAGTACTGCCGAAACGTGATAAATTTTTGGGGTATATTTGGAAATCGTCTTTATTTTATTCATTCGAACTTGGGTTTAAACTTTCGTGTTTTGAACACTTTATTTTGAACTCAAACATTGTATCTTGAACTCTCAAGAAAATGTGATTTTGACGTCAATAAATAAAGAGAGATCACAACTTAAGGCGAGGTACATCAAGTACGGTCGGGTGTTTTACGTTTGGTGCTTTTAACAGCAGGACCCGCTGGTGCTGTGAATTTTGCACGTGAAATCCGATTGAACTCGAAAGCTTCTCTAAATCGTCCTCAGTTGAGAGTTCAAATACCACAGAACATTGAACTCGTGAAATGGTGTGATTTTCAATCGTAGTTCAAAGATTCTTTTTAAAAAAAAATTTCATAGATTTCTTTTTTAATTTTCGAAACTGTGTGGTTAGGTCTAGCTTAGGTCTGTAACTTGGGTTATCAAAAACATAATATGGTATCAAGCATTGACGACAGAAGGGCTCGGAGCCAAAGTGGTGGCTAAACAGTGATCCTAGTATTTTACAAGTTTTACGGTAATAAAAGTATGGCGCCTCAATACAGAGATTGTAATGAAAGTAGTTAAAATATAGTAGACAGAAACACTGATATTCTAGAAACATTATACAATATAGTTGTTAATAGTAAGTTCTATTCAAATATATTATTTCACGCGATCCTATTTCACAGATGTAAATTTAATTATATGGGAGCATTCCGGAGAGTTTAAATAAAAGTATAATCATTAATATCTAGAAGGTAAATTAAGATGGATAGTACTTCACCTTACAGCGATGGATAATGAGCTAGATCTCTAGCAGATATGTGCCTAGTAGTAATGTGGGGGTAGGTGTATTTCCGCAATGTGGGGTAGCTACACACACAACAATGTGGGGGAGATACACACACACAACCATATGGGGTAGGTGTATACCCGCAATGTAGGGTAGTTATACACACAACCAAGTGGGGTAGTTACACACCCAACAATGTGGGGTACTCACACACACAATGTGGGGCTATTTACACCCCCAACTATCAGCTGGTGCACTTGATGCTGCACACGCCTCTATAAACCACGAACCGTGTCATCGAGTTCGACCTACCCCCCCCCCCCCCCCCCCACACACTATCGGCTCCGGATCGCTCAGCCTATTTCAGATCCCAGCAGGAACACAATATGACTTCACCCCCTCGGTTATCGCGCCAGAGTTGGGGGATTACGTCTGTCTGGGGCTGACGGTAATTGAATAAATCTACACCCCCGGGCTGCAGATGAGGGGTGGGGTTTTTAAAAAAAAATTTAGGACAGGCGTGATAAGTAACTGTAGTGTTGGGATTACACCTGTCTACAGTTGGGGGAGGGGGGAGTCAGGTGATCGTGACGTCACAGTAGAGATGGTGTCAGGGTTGAATTGATGTAAGCTGTGCTGCTAAAAGTGTTGTTGTTGTGGAGGAGGTGTGGTAGGGAGCGGTGGAGGAAGTGTGATATTAGTTTCTCTAGGTAATCCGTTTACATTAATCCTGAGATTAGGAGTCTAAAACAGGCCGGCTATTTAAAAGTATAAGCCATAACACGATGATATTTTATTTAAGTTTATGGGTGGCACGAGGAAAATATATAGACTCTATGCCGATTAGTGAAGGGGTAAAAATCAGCTTTGGTTAACTATAAAATAGGTTATGTAAAATAATACTAATTTAAAATTTATAGTTTTTTTTTTTTGGTTGCAGCATATATTCTAATTGAAAGTTATGTGATTGTTTGGTGTGTGGATATTTGTGTTTGTGTGTGTGTGTGTTTGTGTGTGTGTGTGTGTGTGTGTGTGTGTGTGTGTGTGTGTGTGTGCGTACGTGTTTGTCACGACGCTCGTGTTTACGATCGTGCGCAGGAAGCGCGACTTGAGTGACGGTGTGTGCGTGTCAAACTGTCGACCCCAGGGTCAAGGCTGTGATCCCTCCCTACCCCCCCCCCCCCTACGGGCCGAGTCAACTGCAGTGTGAGTTTATGGCGCGGCACACAAGGTGCGACGAAACAGGCGGGGGGAAAATGACCTTCAAGGTAGAAGGTCAAAGGGGAATCGAGTGCAAAGTTTCCAGTCATGAGGGGGACCACCGCAGGCCACTGTGCTGTACGGACAGGCGCAAAATACCGGCTCGGTGTTTACCATGTTCGGCTGCTTTTGCCGGCAAAATATTTGACCGGTTCGGCTGACCGGAATGTTATTCTAGGAACTAAAGGGAGACCGGAGCGAGGGGACCGTGCACGGAAACCAGCCGGCATACAAGAGGAGGGGGGCGGCGCGGGACGAAACGGGCGCGGTATTTGTTTTAGGGGTCCGCCATGAGAAAGTTGCCAGGTTAGGGGGGAAAATATTTCAAGGGAAAATGTCAACGGGAAATATTTCAAGGGAAAATGTCACGGAAAAATATTGTTGCTTTAGAGAAAGATACTTTTGTCGGAAAAAAGAAACGGCTTGATTTTTTTTGTTTCGTTGATAAGTTAATTTGTACGGTGCATGATTTAGGAGTCAGCAAAATGTTTTGACTAGGACAACGTTTTCGAAAACATCGGCGACTCACCAACTCACGTGAAATATGTTAGTTAAGGCACAATAAGCAATCAGGTGGGACGGGTAGAGGGAGTCTCACAAAGCCCGCTGTGTGTAGTTTGCTTGATTTCCTGTGAAGTCCCCCAACGGAAAACATCTAACCTCAAATTTAGCAAAGATCTGGCCAAACGTTAACTCTTTTTCCAAAAATTATCAGAAAAGTTAATCGACATATTCTGATTGCTTTTAAAAGTGAAAAATAAATTTATTGCAGTCAGAAGGCCCATGTTGGGTTCTTTTTACTTTTGCAATCTAAATATTATCAAAAATATCAAAGTAAATATAAGTTCGGTGAATTATTTACATGACATTCAAAGTGCATTAGTGCATTTACACCACCACTCAAGTGCATTTACGTCACTATTAAAGTGCATTTACACCACCATTCAAGTACATTTACACCACCTTAAACGTCATAGCTCAAACCATGCATCTAAGTACAGACACAATGTGAAACTGATTAGTGCATTGCGTCCGCCCCCCCCCCCCAATTCCCCATTAAACCCGAAGCCTATCCCCTCCATATGATACCAATATGGCGACGACTGTCCAAGATCCCCACTTCCTTACCGCGGCCTGCCAAACTGTCAAAACACTCATAGGTTAGACCAACAGGGACAATGGGTGCGGCGGCGGTGGTGGGGGGAGCGTCCATTCTGGCACACAAAGGAAGCGCCAGGGACTCTATCGGGGGGAGAGAGGTGAAAGGTGTCTACACTTACTTTAGGCAGGGGTTTCCCCTCGGGCGGCAGGCACCCCAGCTCGGCGGCCTGGCCTTCTTGGACTCGGGCGGCCACTGGCGTTCTCTCGAACCGTTTTCTTAGATCTGTGGAGGAGAGGGGTGTTTAGTACAGGATATGTGGGGGAGAGGGGTGTTTATTACAAAGTGTGGAGGAGAGGGGTGTTTAGTACAAGGTGTGTGGGGGAGGGGTGTTTAATACAAGATATGTGGGGGAGAGGGGTGTTTAGTACATGGTGTGTGGGGGAGAGGGGTGTTTAATACAAGATATGTGGGGGAGAGGGGTGTTTAGTACATGGTGTGTGGGGGAGAGGGGTGTTTAATACAAGATATGTGGGGGAGAGGGGTGTTTAGTACATGGGGTGAGGTGGAAAAGGGGTGTTTAGTACAAGGTGTGTGGGGGAGAGGGGTGTTTAGTACATGGGGTGAGGTGGAGAGGGGTGTTTAGTACAAGGTGTGTGGGGGAGAGGGGTGTTTAGTACAAGATGTGTGGGGAAGAGGGGTGTTTAGTACAAGATATGTGGGGGAGAGGAGTGTTTAGTACAAGATATGTGGGGGAGAGGGGTGTTTAATACAAGGTGTGTGGGGGAGAGGGGTGTTTAGTACAAGATGTATTGAGGAGAGGGGTGTTTAGTACATGGTGTGTGGAGGAGAGGGGTGTTTAATACAAGGTGTGTGGGGGAGAGGGGTGTTTAGTACAAGATGTATTGAGGAGAGGGGTGTTTAATACAAGGTGTGTGGGGGAGAGGGGTGTTTAGTACAAGATGTATTGAGGAGAGGGGTGTTTAATACAAGGTGTGTGGGGGAGAGGGGTGTTTAGTACATGGTGTGTGGAGGAGAGGGGTGTTTAATACAAGGTGTGTGGGGGAGAGGGGTGTTTAGTACAAGATGTATTGAGGAGAGGGGTGTTTAATACAAGGTGTGTGGGGGAGAGGGGTGTTTAGTACAAGATGTATTGAGGAGAGGGGTGTTTAGTACATGGTGTGTGGAGGAGAGGGGTGTTTAATACAAGGTGTGTGGGGGAGAGGGGTGTTTAGTACATGGTGTGTGGAGGAGAGGGGTGTTTAATACAAGGTGTGTGGGGGAGAGGGGTGTTTAATACAAGATATGTGGGGGAGAGGGTTATTTAATACCATATATGTGTAGGAGAGGGCATTTAATACCAATACATGATAAATTCCTAATATCAAAATATGGTAAATGTTTAAACAAAACTATGTTAACGTAAGGTTTCCACAACACTAAAACACAATTTTAGTAGATTAAAAAACAGGTAGGAAAGCAAGAAAATAACAAACAACCCCGCTCACATACCACAAAATGCAAATACTCAAACACAGAGAAACACAGATAAATAAACACACAGAAACAGCACTGTTTGGTTACCTAAACATGTAGTCTATACATAAATATAGACATACGACGGCAAATGTCTATGAACAATGAGTATATTAGTCTATGGGTGAACTTACTCGTTACAGTTTATGTAGGCCTATACACATTAACACTGCGTGCTTTACATATTTAAATTGTGTTCATTCTGGTTATGATCAGATACACGAATCGTTGAATTAATCTACAACAACATCCACGTTGAAAGCAACTTCTTTATCTCTATATGTCATATGTTTCGACGTGCATTACGAATTACAAACTAGCACATGTTTTTATTATCTTATTGTTTAAACTTGAACATCAATTATCATATATACAATGTTTACCTAGCATGAAGGGAATTTTTTTCACATGTTAAATACGATGTTTTTTTTAAAAAGTTAATATCCTCCGGTATGGTTGGTAAAACAATTTAACATATAATGTAATGTTTACCTTGTGTAAAGTGCTTCTTTTTACACACGAAGTTTCTATTTTCTCGTACAGTTAGTGTCATGTCGTAAAAAAAAAATTATTTGTCTTCACGAGTAATTACAGTTTAAATCCCGTTTATCTAAACCCATAATTTGGTTACTTAAAGCGTTTTAAAGAAGAACAAAAATCCTCGTTTGGCTTGATTTTATTGCCTTAACTCTGCTAATTTGGCCGCACGTCACAACAATAATCTGGCCAGCGCTCTCTGTAGCAACAGAGGCCAAAGAAAACACGACGAAAAAAAATGGCTGCGCGGATGACGAAAGTCTGGGGAAAGCATTAGGAGAAAAAAGATCTCTTTTAATACCTTACCACTTGGGGGCAGGTTTTTGTACAGCAATTTGCGTGCTGAAAATGGTTTCTAATTAAAACCGAATCGAATTTTATAAAATTTATGAGAAGATTTTTTTGGTAATAAATTTGTTTGATGATCGGTCGGATGGTTTTTTGAATCCGTTTTATTATGTTAGGAGGTGTTCGGGTTTAGTTAAAAAGTGCAGAATTACTTATTTAATGAACTCGACTTCCCCTAAATTGGTATATATCGAAATGTTTAACCACCATCCTATACATATTATTACTATGCAGCATCGTTGAGAGTTTTTTAAAAAATTTTAGTTTAAAAAATCGATTCTTTCTTTGGAATATGTGATTAAATGGTGTAGTACTAAACTCAAATAAATAAAACAAATTAATTAATCTAAAGTTAAAATAATTAGTGGCTTACACTCCTAGCTCTGTACTATTACTTCTATATTTATCTCCAGGGTAGCCTTAGTTCAAGGCACACTAAGATAAGCTGAAACATTGTAATTAAAATTATTTATTTCATCCTTGGCCTTATCATCTCGACGATACTTGAGATTCGATTACGGAGATTCGTCTGAAGAATACCACATTCCGTTCTTATTTATAGAAATTGGGTTTCCCCTAATTATCCACCGTGTCCTTATTAGCCGGATTCGGGTAATGGAAAGTGATCGAAAAGGTGGCACCTCAGGAGCCCCGGATTGATGTATGGGGCGAGATGGTTTTAAAAAGAAAATAACATGAATAAAAGGGGTGATAATTCTCGCATAACGATCTATCAAGGTTGACTCCCTTTGAAGGAAGAAATGGTTTCAAATAAAAGAAAGGTGAGATAAGATTGTAAAAAAAGAAAGAAAAAAATGGTATGGGAGACGCTTTTGAAGCGGGAATTTCCGAAAAGGCCACGGGTAATGAAGAAAGAAAGCGAAAGGAGGACTGCGCGTCGATGCGAGTTTTTCACAGAGTCTGGTAACAACTGTTTTAAGGGGAAAATGTGAAGAGGGTGGGGTGGGGGTGGGGGGTGTTGGGAGGTGTGTTTTGGGGATTGTTCACTTCTAAGATACAAGTGATCTAGACGCCGTGACGTTAATGATGAATTTGCAGCGTTGTGGCTGAACTCTTTTTTTAAGGTGTTAAGAAAGGAGTTATTTTTCCCCCTCTGTGGTGTGTGTATATGTGTGTTTGTTTTTAAGCGGTGCGTAATAGGTTATATAATTAGGGCTGTCTTCGGCGGGTATAGTCAAATAGTCTAGGGGAGTGGACAAGGGGGCGGAGGGGGGGGGGGAAGATAATTGTAAAGCCCGCACAAAAGCGCGTGTGATTCCCTTGCATGCTCGACGCTCAAGAGGTGCACGTCGGTTCAATAAATTGCCAGGAAACGGGTAGAGTGTGGGGTGGCGGGGGGGGGGGGTGTCTGGTAGACAACCTATTTCCAAACCATATAGACTGTCATGAATTCAAATTTTAATTAAACATTTCACAGCTGCTTTTGTTATTAAATCGCCGCCTCCTTCGTTAGACGGGGGGTGCAATCACGTTAAGGAAAGTTCTAGAAAACTTCATTGCTTGTCTCGCACTTTGTGTGTGTATTTTATTTAAACGAATTTTTGTGTTCAAAGACTAAAAGAACCGAATAACTGCCCATAACGCATGCGCATAGCAATGCAGACGACGCCATCTTTTGTGTCTATATTCATGAGACCCCCCCCCCCCCCAACTACAAACAAAGAGTTCTTATATTATTTTCTTCATGACGTCAGAGCTTTGATAACAGATACCAACTGTCCATTCAATACAATACGATCATCAGCACTTGGATCATTTTGGATTTTTTTTCTTACATTGTTATCGTCATTCAAGTTAGAACTGCGCTAATGTGCGTGTAGAGCCAAATGTCCACACAACACACTACACTCATCAGCACTTGGATCGGTTTGGATTTTCCACCAAGGCGGCGGGCAGCAGAGTTATTTTTGTCACTAAATCGGATGACAACTGGCATGCGATGACAACTGTCATAAGCAGCTTTTGATTATTTTACTTTTTATGGACCGAGAACAAAGGTATTAGTTCTTCATTTCCACATTATTTTCGTGTATTTTTTTCCCTGTCTTTTAGATTTTAAAGTCTGGTGTGTAGGTAGACATGTTTACTGTGTTGAAACTAGACGTTTATTATTTATTGTTTATTTATTTTATTTATTTATTGTATTCGAGCCGACTCAGCTCTAATGGGTACCGGGCTGAAGTCGGGCAACAGTATAGGAGTCGGTCACAGTGTTGTTTACACGAGCCCCGTATTTGTATGCCGAGGTAAAAAAAACAAATAAACTCTACTTCCTCTTATGTCAAAATAAACAACTTTTATATGTATTACATCTGCAGTTACTTTATATTATCACATTCTTTGTTTAGTGTAAATTAACACATTGTTTCAGTTTACACATATTTTTTTAACTTAAAACTTTAAACAATTATATTATGTTTATTATTTGTTTCGTTTCGGTTTCATTTTTACGATCGAATACTTTTTATCGTTTTCAAGTTTAGCTTAGTTTTTGTTTTAACCAACAACACACGTATTGTTTACTTTCATTTATTTCACTAAATGCTTAAATTAGAAATCGCAAACCCCTATCCCAAAACCCCAGTATCCGCTTTTTCCCCTCCAATAAAAAAAAAATGAAGCCAATTTTTCAGCTGTCATTGGAGCGGGCGGAGCCGCCGGTATCATTTCATCAGAGCAGACGTGACCAAATTGAATGTGTGCCCAAATTTATTACCCTCGGTTCCATCCTCGGTGCACGGCCGCGGATTCCCGAGAACTCAAACAAGACGCCAATTCTAAATATTGAATCACCGCCATCTTCTTCTTCTTCGCTCCTCCCGAC